CTAGAATTAGGATAAGTATTACATAAAATCACATGATAAATAATTGTTATTTTTTATTTTATTTAGTTTTTCTCACAAATGATAATTGTTTGTATATCTCTAAATGAGTGAATATTAGTATTTGACCTGAATACATTCCTTTAGCGCCCCACCTCTCTAAAATTCTTAGTTACTAAGTGAAAATAAAAAGAATTATGTTATTATTATTATTATTACAAGTCCTAATGACCTTATTTAACCTGTCATTTTGCAATGAAAATATTTATTCGCATAGTTATTGTTGTTACAGTGATGTTGATGTGACTGATAACGATGGTCATTGTTTACTTAAATTATCACTACTATTTACTTTTTATCCTTCCCTCTCTCTCTCTCTCTCATTCCCCGTTTTTTTTTCCTTTTTCTATCGTCGACGTCACTATTATCAACGTCTTATCTAATCTCTTTTAAAAATTACCCATAATGTATGCACATATATACTTATTGATTGATTGACTAATTTTACCGCTAAAATTCAATGTCCTAACAATGTTTAAACCTAATGGGACGTATAAAATTCTTATTCATTTGTAACTAATTTATTTTATAGACCAGATGTCTTATAATCAAATATGTAAAACAGGAGAAAATTTTTTCTTTTCTTTTTTTTTTTTAATGTCAAAAAAAGGCAGGATACATTTGAATTTGGCACGTTTATTAACAACGACGACAACAACAATAACAAAATAAAGATCAATGACACCTGCTCAGCTGTAAAAACAGCTGATCATGATGATGATTAAGTAATAATAATGTGTGATCTATGCATAGTTTGAGTAGTCTAGCCTGTTTTCTTATCTTACTGATTTTAGGACAGAAATAAACAAACAAAAAAAATTTTTTTCCCTATTTTTTCCTTTCTGTTACTTAGTTAAACAGAAGTTAGTTCGAATTTGTTTACATAATACATAGATTGAATTTATATTAAATTTCTTAAAATAAGGTTAAATAGTTACGATGTCATTTCATTTTGACATTGATATTACTTTTTAAAATAATAAATCAATAGGTCAATTGTTTGTTATTCAACAGTAGTTAAGTGAGAATTACATTTTATGATCTAACAATAAATATTTATACATATAGTTCCTTTTATCATGTTGAAAAGAGTAAGAACAAACATTCTAGAAGAATAGCATAAATTCATTCTTATTTCGTTGGTTCTTGTTAGCTGCTTACAACCTGTGATATTTGTAAATCATAATTACATAATGAGTTTAAATTACTTACATGAGATGATTTAGTTGGAAGTTATATTGAAGATATATATCAGGTTTTTGGCATCTGATAGCAACGGCTTTAGTAAACTTCAGAAGACTGGAGTTTGGTTGCTTACTAATCACCTTGAATGATTGCAGGGTATCGAGCTGATGTCTTATATTACATCATTGAGTTTTATTTCAATTATCTTCTAAATTAATAATTTTATTTTATCAACTGAACTCTATTCATTTTATTCCTATTAATGTTTACTCATTCTATAATCACTTGTTTCTAGCCGTTTTGAACTGTTGTCACAATCAATGTTGTAGAATGTTCTTTAACATAAGGTATATATATTTACAGTATTCCATCTATTAATTTTATTTACACCCTTGCTATACTATATTAGTATGTCTTCTATATCACCTTCAACTAAACCATCTCATGTAAGTAATTTAAACCCATTATGTAATTATAATTTTAAATATAACAGGTTGTAAGGAGCTAACGAAAACCAACGAAATAAATATTTAATCGATTAATAACAGAAGGAAATTTTGTGAGTGTGGATATTATTAGTAATTATAATAGTTGAGATCATAAATTAATTGAAGCTAGACTACCATGGAAAAATTGACGCGAGACCGATAGATCTTGGGTTCGAATTTTGTGAGGCGGGATCGTGGATGTGTATTGTTGAAGAGTCCCATAATAGGATGAAACGGCTGGCTGTTCAGTATTTCAATTGATTTATGACCTCAACAATTAAATAATTCTTGTAAGTAGTTAGTTTCTATAAATTTTATTTGTATTCAGTTCATTTATTAATGTTTTCTGTCAATTTTCTTTAATATTAGAAGCCGTTTTGTGGAGATCTTAGTAATTTCAATAGTTGAAATCATGAGTCATTTGAAGCTAGACCATCATGGAAAACCTGGACGGCCGTTTTGTCCTATTGTGGGACTCCTCAGAAGTGCGTATCCACGATCCCACTTCGTGAGATTCCAATCCAGGACCTACTGGCCTCGCGCTCGAGCAATTAACCTCTAGACCACTGAGCCGGTCGGCATACAACGGTGTTCATGTCTAACTTCAAAGAATCCACGAAATTGCGCTAGCGTCACCGTTGTCTTCAGTGAGCTGATATCTGACAACAGACCTGGTTGAACTCCACTGATCACTGTTTCTCTCTAGAACTCCAGGATATACATCTTGAAGTCATCCACTAGTGAGCAGATGATTATTATTAGAAGGGGTTTTGTGGAGATTTTAGTAATTCCAATAGTTGAGGTTAGACATTAACACCGTTGGATGCCGGCAGGCTCAGTGGTCTAAAGGTTAGGCGCTCACACGTAAGACTGATAGGTCCTGGGTTCGAATCTCGCGAAGGGAGGGGTCGTGGATGCGCACCGCCGGGTATTCCCATACTAGGACTAAACGACCTTCCAGGTTTTCCATGGTGGTCTAGCTTCAAATGACTCACGATCTCAACCATTGAAAATTTCTTCAAATTCAAGGTTTTTTTCTTATACACAATAAATTACGTCTTGATGACGAAATTCCGTTTACGATTGTGTAATACAAAATAAGACTGTCAGTTCTTTTAAGGTTTTTGCTATAGTCTCATCTGAAACAGAAAAAATTTCCCATCTCAGTTCCCAGTATTTGAAAGATCATTAAAAGCATTCAGAAGTTAAATGTCTCACTATTTTTCGCCCACAATCCCGCCTGGAACCCCTCTGGGGCTACTGCTGGTCCTAAGCCCGGATAAAGGAGGAGGGTTGGGCATGGGGTTAGCGATCTCATCCTGTACAAAACTAACTCGCTAGAAAGCGCTAACCAGAAAAAATAATCCAAATCATTTAAACTCTGTCCTGGGAGTTAGAAGAGTTATGACGCCTGATGATGGAAGCCGAGTTCCTTCGGAAATCACGAGGCTGATGTCCCTTCTGACAACCAGAGCAACCATTAATTTAGGTACATGGAATGCTCGTACAATGTGAGAGACTGGGAGTCATCCAAATTGCTGTAGAAATTTTTCGTCTACAAATCGTCTCACAATGGAACCCTTGTATAACTAATTTGCATTTTTGGGAGGAAAATAAATCACAAGAAGCTATATCTGGAGAGTAGGGAGAATATTACAGCACAAACCAAACACCATCACACAAACTTGCTTGTAGACCACCTCTCAAGTTGTTGAGAATCCACACAGTATTTACTTTGACCATGGTGAACAACACAATGAACTGTTAAATTTTCATAGATTAAATCATAGACATATCTTAGTTAGACCCCTATTGAAAACCAGAAAGTATTGGACAGCTGTTTCGTCCAAGTATGGGACTCATAAGGATTGGATATCCACGACCCCCACCACAAGCGATCCGACTGGAAACTTTCGGTCTCTCTTAAAATGTAGTTTACTAGTCTAAATCTACCTAGATTTCTTCGTATTCAACTCCTTAATACAGTAGAAGCTCTTACCATCCATGAGTTCAAGCCAGAACTGCGTATATAAACGAAGTATGTCGTATCGTTATCTTGGCCTTAATCCATTATTTCAATCCGAATTTGAAAATATCCTCCTCTCCATTTACTCATATTTCATATTCTCATGATTTCATTCATAATTCTTTCTGATATCACTTGGTTTAATTTTGAGCATTTATTCCCTTTAATTATGGTAACAAAAACATTTTAATCACCTTACTTTATTCCCATTACAATCCGTTGTTAACTTCTTAATTTTTATTTGTACACACACAATCTTCTATTGTAATCATCCATATTACGCAATCTAGTATTGTAATCTTACTACATTATCATATTTATTCCTTGTTCATATGTCCTCATGGAACTAGTACTTTAAAAAATTTTCATATATATATATGATTGTACAGCATGTTAATAAATTCGTTGAACTTTGTGTTTTTTACATATACAATAAGTTTAACTCAATTAACAATGACGAAACACGAGAAACGATTTCTTAGAGCTAATCAATAAATTTCAATATTTTAGAACCGATGAAAACCATGATGGGTTGGATTGTTGTTTTTTCTTGTTTGAAATCCCTAGGCTTCTACGAACATTCAATGGTCTTACGAAAAGAGTGTTATCTTTCGAATTTCACTTTATGGGAAACATTCTAAATGTTTTTGAAGTCAGCCTGGTCCTATGTTGTAATTGACTTGATAGCCACAATTGGTATAGAGCCTGAAATATGCATTAGCGTAGCAAAATGAAATTAACGAGATACATACCAAACGAGTCACAACGATAGTAGTTCGGATAATAGTGAGACTAGAAATTGAAAATAAGGTTCGGGAAGGAATGAAAAGATCTAGAGTAGGATACAAGGTGAGTACGACTGAACTGTTGTCCCTAAATCAGAGCCAAGTTACTCAACGTTCTTAACCACTGGTAGTGATTATAACACGAACCCTAACCACATGTATTCCATGCCTACCAATACAGCTAAGTTCAATACTCAACAATTTCATGGACTAATATCTCCGGTTCTTTACCAATCTATTCCTATTTCAGACAATACTGCGACTTCAAGTAGACGGTAGTCAGGTATATGTAAAACGTAATTGTATTTTTAGAAAGAAACAAGTTTTTAAATTATCTCGGAGATAAATTCTATGAAAAAAGTGACGATTCATTTTGCTGGATGCAACAAAATGATTAGAACCAATTGAAAAAGATATCTTTATAAATAATTATACAATTTTTTGTACAAATATAGGAACTGTAAAAACATTAATAAAAGGCATAGTTATTTCACTCTCATTTTTATTTGACGTGAATGAGCAGGCGAATTGGGTGCATCATTGAAAAATGGGGTGTCCACAGGACGAGTTTTTAAACGAGATCTTTTATCATCTTTATGTGTTGAATCAGAATGTTTGGAAATTCTATCCGATGACATTTCAGAGTGTTTCGACGAAGTATGCTTATAAGATTTATGTTGCTGGTGATGTTCGTCATGATGACGATTGCTATGTGACTTCTTTTGTAATTTATGCTTGTCTTTAGAATGTTTCCTCTTTTTACGATGCTTTTCATCATTTGAACAACTCGACTCTGATTCACTACTACTATTACTATCACCACTAGAAGATGAACTTGAAGAAGACGATGAAGATGAAATTGATATATCACCTAAAACGGATGACGATAGTTTATTCTTGGATTCAGATTCTTTTTTCGCCAACGCTGAATCACGTGATGCTTGTAAATGTTCACGAAGGTCTAAGGTTAAACCGCCTAAACCAATTGTGGTTAAAAAATTAATAGCAAATCGTGTATCTTTAGGATTATCACGTGGTAGAAGACCAGCAAAAAATGGCTGAAGTGTCTCATCACGAAGTCTTGCTTGTAACTTTGATAAGCCCATAAATGAACAAAGTTCCAGGAAAAGATGCTTGAGAAATATACGTCCAGAAGAAGTTGTATCACGTTCATTTAAGCGTACACATTCAAATACACCCCATGATATAGAATCAGAATATAAAAGATGGGCAAACAAGAAAGCAACATTACGTAATTTTGCAGTTTCCAATCTATGAATTATTGAGTATTGTTCAGAGAAAATCTTTTCAAACTGAGCAACATAACTACGGGGTGGACCTGATTCTTCTACAACAGGTGCAGGAGTTTCTTCTTTCGCTGTAGGCTTACTGACCTCTTTATTACTTCGATATCGGCTACCGGGACCTAAGTCAGAGCTTACAGAAACAGTAGTAGATCCCGTGCTGGATGGGGTACTAGATGGAAAGACAACTCGGCAAAGTCTTTGAGCTAATCGACCATAACGACTTTCATAACTACGTGTTTGAGCACAACAATCTAAAACCATAGAAGCTACTTCATACTCTTCTCCAGGTTTAATTTTCAACTGTAGAAGACGATGTCCAGCTTCATCTGCACTTAAACTACTTTGCAGCATCAAGTAGATGGTACGACGTAGGTGGACTAGATTTGTTTCCGTTTGATCAATAATTGTTTGTTGATTCTCTGCAGTTGCAGCAGCACTACGTTTATGTTCTTCATCCTCTTCATCGTCATCATCTTCATTACCTGATTCTTCTGAATCTTCACCTTCATTTTCACCATCTGACTCAGCTTCTGAATCTTCATTCGATTCAAATAATGCTGCTCTAATTTCAGCATACTTTGCTTCATTTGCCAAGAATTCTGGATCGAATTTAAACACATTCAAATGTTCCTCTGGGTCTACTTGGTCAAGAAGTGAAGTTGTATGAGTGATTTGATCACTTTCTTGAATTAAATCAAGTTCTGGCAAGACAATCGGATGATCTTTCCATCCATCACGACGAATCTGCACGAAAATATTCATGTAAGACAATACAATATCAAATATTTTTATCAGTAAAAAGTTTATTTGTTTATCAGGATACTCATTTAACTTAATTGCAGAAATTTACTTATATTTTTTAAATATTATTCGTCCTCAGTTTTGAACAGTCAAACACAGAGAACGTATAGCTGAACAATTTGGTATTATATGTCCATATAACTCAAAACCATATCTACAAGAAAGTTCCCTAAGGCTACGAACTAAGTAAACTGTTTTGGAAAGATTGATGTATTGTGTTTGAGGGTTCAATTGAGTCCCTAATTACAGACTCTTAAAAACTTGACCAATCAACTATGGGGTGGGAGAAAACGAAGAATATAAGGAGATTTACTGTCAAAGTCGAACAACAGTTAACACAACTTAAGTGTATAATATAAGTTACCAGACTGAACAAGACGGACATGTTAGCCTTGACCATGGTCATGTAAGTAGTCCGCTTACTCACAATAAAACTGTTCACAATTTCGTCTTTTACTTATCGTTTGACCTTGGAACAACACGTGATTGAGTTAGGTTTGGCATTCATATCATTATGAAGCTATATTTCCCTGTCCAGATCACGGTAAATGGATTTAATTATTATGAATGGTCTGGTACAAATCAGCAGTATTAAAACACGCATAGAAAATATTTATAATAACATCATTCAAACCAACTGACTTATCAGTTGATATTCATTTGGAAGTGAAATCACAGCCAAGAAGCCAACAAATTCAATGTTAAAACTCATAACGCGTGCTAACGTATAACTGTTTTGCTAATTGCATTATACTACTTACCGTTATTCAGTAGTTAATGTTATACTCAACCATTTTCATGGCTTGAATGTCGAAACGAATATCTTTCTGTAACAACGAACAAGTACTAATAGAAATCATTTGTAATCTTATTTCTATAATTTAGCTCATTTTACCACTCGCAATATTACTTCTTCCTATTTTTACTGTTCGATCTATATTGCCCCTAAATGCCCCGGTACGGCTGAGGGTGGAGAGTCCGCTCTCCCTCTCGAAATGCTCTCACATAGCCACATGCATACAACAACTGTCAGGGAAGAACTACTCACTGCCTTATCACAGCATTACTGTTGAGCATGAAAAGGGAATTTCCGGAGCTTTAACCGGGTTGTTGGGTATGGAGGGTCCACCTAATGGAGTTGGAAAACCCTGATTCCAAATCAATGGTGAACATGAGCTCAAGTATCCTGAAGGAACAAATGTCGTATGAACCTATTGTTGGTCACCAGCTACCATGGTACTGCATCTCCTCACGCTGCTCAATTACCCTGTGAACCAAACCTTTAGGTCGAAGCCTCGGGGTGTAGCCATCTAAGAAAACCACCTGCTTCGGCACCCGGGTAGTATCATAGCCCACACACAAATCAAGTAACTAGTGTGGCGCATATGTATTTGGTGCCTTCTTGTACTAATGTTTATGCCATCAAATAAATAATAAAGTAAAACTATCTACATTTGTTTGCAACACCTTAAAACTTTGTGCCTTGAATGGCTTGTCCTATTTTTGAAACACATATGAATCATTGTTACTTGTTTGAAGCAACCGTGTGATATCCTACCGTTTATAATATATGATATAGATTTCTTCTTATTTTAGGTTAATAACTTCTTTTTGATTAAACTTTGAATAATAAATAGATATCTAAACACAATATGACTCGGGTTTTGTAACTTCATATTGTTTATATTATTTTCTAAAATAGTATCATATTTTCAGACCAATTTCATCTTTTAATCTTGGGATTACATAAATAACTTTTCGGTTGTAGGGTAATGAAGGCAGAACGAATTTCACATGAATATACCACGATAAACAGATATACAAACATCAAGGAGCTTAATTACTTCATCAAAAAGTCAAATTGATTCAACGATAAATAGATTTTATGTCATATTCCAAACTCCGCCCGTAGCTCTCCTAGAGTTACTGCCGGTCCCAAGCCCGGATAAAGGAGGGTTGGGCATGGGGTTAGCGTCCCCATCCCGTAGAAAACCAACTCGCTAAAAAAATGCTAACCAGAAAAAATAACTCAAACCATTTAAACTCTGCCCTGGGAGTTAGAAGGTCTTCATTTAGAAGAAATATGACGCCTCAGGGTGAAAACCGAGTTCCTTCGGAAGCCATGAGGCCGATGCCCCTTCTAACAACCAGAGCAACAATTTTTATAGGTACATGGAACGTCCGGACAATGTGGGAGACCGGGAAGACCAGTCAAATAGCAACGGAAATGAGGAGATACAACTTGGCAGTACTGGGAATCAGTGAAACCCATTGGACCCAAGCTGGACAACAAAGGCTAAATACGGGAGAGATGCTGCTATACTCCGGTCACGAAGAGGAAAATGCTCCACACACTCAGGGAGTTGCTCTAATGCTATCCAAAGTAGCACGAAATGCACTTGTAGGATGGGAATCTCACGGATCCAGAATCATCAAAGCATCATTCAAAACAAAGAAGGAGGGGATCACAATGAACATTATCCAATGTTATGCACCCACCAATGATAGCAACGACGACGTTAAAGATCAATTCTATGAGAGGCTGCAATCAATCATAGAGAAGTGCCCAAGAAAGGACCTCACCATTCTGATGGGAGATCTAAACGCCAAAGTCGGAATGGACAACACCGGATATGAAGACATCATGGGACTGCATGGACTGGGAGAGAGAAACGAAAACGGGGAAAGATTTGCAAATCTGTGTGCATTCAATAAATTGGTCATAGGCGGTACAACATTTCCACACAAACGTATACACAAAGCTACATGGATCTCACCGGACCACACCACAGAGAACCAGATAGATCACATTTGCATCAATAAAAAGTTCCGAAGGACAATGGAAGATGTGAAAACCAGGAGAGGAGCGGACATAGCTTCAGATCATCACCTGGTTGTGGCCAAATTGAAACTGAAGCTAAAGAAGAACTGGACAAACAGCACCACAAAGGTTCAATACAGCCTTCCTTCGAGATACTGACAAACTCAATGAATTCAAGGTAGCTCTCAACAACAGGTTCCAAGCCTTACAGGATCTACTGAAGGAAGAAGAAACTACTATGGAGGATAGCTGGAAAGGTATCAAAGAAACATTAACTTCAACGTGTCAAGAGGTTCTGGGCCCCAAGAAGCATCATCACAAGGAATGGATCTCTACAGAAACACTGGACAGGATCAAAGAAAGAAAGAACAAGAAGACAGCAATTAACAACAGTCGAACAAGAGCAGAGAAAGTCCAAGCACAAGCAGAGTACATAGAAGCAAACAAGAAAGTGAAGAAGAGCATTAGAGCTGATAAGCAAAAATACGTGGAAGAACTAGCAACGACGGCGGAAAAAGCTGCAAGAGAAGGAAATATGAGACAGCTTTACGATACGACGAAGAAGCTTGCAGGGAAATACAGTAAACCAGAGAGACCAGTCAAAGACAAAGAAGGAAGACCAATCACTGAGATTCAACAACAGCGCAACAGATGGGCAGAGTACTTCGAGGAACTCCTGAACAGGCCGGCTCCAATGAATCCACATCGAAGCAGCACACACAGATCTTCCTATAGATGTCAATCCACCAACGACCGAAGAAATCAGAATGGCCGTCAGACAAATCAAGAGCGGGAAAGCAGCAGGACCCGACAATATACCAGCTGAAGCACTGAAGTCAGACATCGAAGTAACGACAAACATGCTTCATCTTCTATTCAAGAAGATTTGGGAGGAGGAACAAGTGCCGATGGACTGGAAGGAAGGACACTTCATCAAGATTCCAAAGAAAGGAGACCTGAGCAAGTGTGAAAACTACAGAGGCATTACACTACTGTCAATGCCAGGAAAAGTCTTTAACAGAGTGTTACTAAACAGGATGAAAGACGCAGTAGACGCTCAACTTCGAGATCAACAAGCTGGATTCCGTAAGTACCGGTCGTGCACAGACCAAATTGCGACACTACGGATCATCGTCGAACAATCAATCGAATGGAACTCGTCATTGTACATCAACTTAATTGATTATGAGAAGGCATTTGACAGTGTAGATAGGAGAACGTTATGGAAACTTCTTCGACACTACGGAGTTCCTGAGAAGATTGTCAACATTATCCGGAACTCATACGACGGACTACAGTGCAAAGTAGTGCATGGAGGACAGCTGACAGACGCATTCCAAGTAAGGACCGGAGTAAGACAAGGCTGTCTACTCTCTCCCTTCCTGTTTCTTCTGGTGGTCGACTGGATTATGAAGACCTCGACATCTGAGGGAAAACACGGCATACAATGGACAGCTCAGAACCAATTAGACGATTTAGACTTCGCAGATGACCTAGCCCTCCTATCGCATACACACGAACAAATGCAGACAAAGACAGCCAGCATAGCAGCAGTCTCTGCATCAGTAGGCCTCAAAATACACAAAGGGAAAACCAAGGTCCTCAAACACAAAACGGAGAACAGAAGTTCAATCACTCTTGATGGCGAAACTCTGAAAGATGTGGAATCCTTCACATACCTGGGAAGCATCGTCGATAAACAAGGAGGTTCAGATGCAGGCGTAAAGGCTAGGATTGGCAAAGCAAGGAAAGCATTCCTTCAATTAAAGAACATATGGAACTCAAAACAACTTTCAACCAACATCAAAGTCAGAATCTTCAATACGAACGTCAAGGCAGTTCTACTGTACGGAGCTGAAACTTGGAGAACTACAACAACCATCATCAAGAAGGTACAAGTATTTATCAATAGCTGTCTACGCAAGATACTCAACATCCATTGGCCGGATGCCATCAGCAACAGCCTTTTGTGGGAGAGAACCAACCAGCTTCCAGCGGAAGAAATTGGGAAAAGACGATGGAAATGGATAGGACATACATTGAGGAAATCATCAAACTACATTACGAGACAAGCGCTAACTTGGAATCCTAAAGGGAAGAGGAAAAGAGGAAGGCCAAAGAACACCTTACGTCGGGAAATAGAAGCGGATATGAAAGGGATGAATAAGAACTGGAAAGAGCTGGAAAGGATTGCCCAGGACAGGGTTGGATGGAGAATGCTGGTAAGCGGCCTATGATCCTTCACGAGGAGTAACAGGCGAAAGTAAGTAAGTAAGTAAGTCATATTCCAATTTCAGGTCATTTTCGTGGAATCGCATGAAGTCCAGTAAATGCAGACCATGAAACTATTGTGAAAAATTTAATCATAGCCACTATCCAACTTTACTTAAAGATGCTTATAAATTAATGACAATATTGAGGCAATTCGCCGAGAATACCAACATAAACTGATCAAATGCAGTCTTTAACATCAACAAGGGGAAGAATATTAATAGAATCCTTATAAATGGCATGATTTAACTTGTTTTAATTAATTATAGATTAAACGTTTGATGGTTTTCCTTATTAAAACAATAAAAGTTTTTATAGCAATGAGAAGTAAAGTCAAAAACCTCACCTGAAACATAACTTCTAACATATAAGAAATACGTTTATCACATTGGCCTTCATTTAAAATACGTCGAAGATGTTCGAAAATTCCATGAACACCTTTCGGTACAAGACGTGAAAGCATGGCACCACATTCTTTAAGGACAGATACTGCCACTTCTACACTGTCATCAGTTGTTTGCTCCAGTAGTAGCGTCAGTAATTCCAGGATTATTAGTTCGTGAACAACTTTTTGGTTGACCAAATGAGCTAGAAATCGTGCAGTAGACAAACATCGATCTTTTTGATTACGTCGAAATGCTTTACGAAATTCATTGATTAATCGTTTAAGAACCAGTTCTCCAACCTGGTAATGACGATAATAAAAGGACAATTGATAAAGTGCTGTATTTCACTATATTTACATGACAATAATAATAATAAATAATTGAATAATACGCCGAAATTAAACTACAATTAAGAATGTAATTCCATGATTTCTGTTATTTTGCAGTTGTTCATCTAGGATCGATTTACCGAAAATTTTCTCAAAAATATTTGAATCACAAAAGACGAACAATTATTTTAAAGAAAAATTGTTAAGTCCAGTCGCTAAAACCAATCTCTATTATAATTAAACAGCCAAACGTAGATGCTAGATTGACGTTGTAGTCAGTTTTGTATGTAGTGATGACCCAGTTGAACTATATTGTCTGGAACACTTTCTCTTTTAGGTCCTACCATTCCAGGCAGGTCGGTTGGAGAACGGTAAAACTCAAGACGGTAACTTAAGATCTGAGGGAGAAGTTATGCCGGCGTTTGTATATAACTGCAGTACGGTGTTCTCAGAAAAGAGCATTTACAACGAGGCTAGAAAAAGTCGGGCCTAGGAATAACACATCTCATCTTGCTCAACGGACTTCTAACGCTAGCGTTAGAGCTTTTGAAGTACGCAACTAACACGTCAAGAACCTCTCGTTAGATCGTGTTTGACCGAAATCAAGAAGATACCACTTGAAATCTGTGATTACATTTAAAGGCCGCCAAGACTACTAATAATGCAGTTCCCTTTCTGATTATCTCAAGAAGAAATATCTTCCGATAGGGTGGGTAACCGGGCACTAAAAACCACTCAGACAACTCATAGACTGGATTTCAGTCGTCTGTGTGCAGTTCGAATAAGCGGGACATTGAAAACTGAGAAAGATAGGGATGAACGCGGTTGCCTATCTGTCTTCTCGATCTATGCTCTCATTGACAGAAGTTTGCATGTAGTAAGGGATAAGTTTTACAGAAAGCTTCTGCTCTCCTACAAAAGGCCAAGTACTCAGACGTCATAATCATAGAAGGAAACTTTAATGCCTAATTATGTTGTTGAAACCAAAGTGGGAGACAATTAGGTGAATTTTAGAGTCCCAGCTCAACAAACAGACAACAGCGAGTCTACTGCAGATAGGTTCAGGAAATGGTTTAATCTTAGCAACCATTAACTGTAAACATAAAGATATTGTCTAACATGGTGACTTCCACAACAGACTAAAGGAAGGACGTAAATAGACCATACTGCCATCGGTCATCGTTGGACAGACTCGATAGAAGAATGCCGCTCATCTTAGGGCACATGTTTAAACTTTGATCACGTTGTATTACGAGCATATATGTGTTTTGGCCTTACGAAATACATGAAAGACATAACAAGAAGATCGATTAGTGATGGAGCAGTTAGTCGGTCGGAAAGTGATGCCTAACCCGATGCAGGTTAGTATGATATACGGACGGCTGTGAAAACACCAGCAACATCCACGAGAGACGATAGCCAAAAGGTTAAAAAACCAGTGGATTTTAATAGCGTCTAATGAAGTGATCGATGCTCAGAAACTCATTTTGTCGGACTCGGAACACGATGAGTGGAAGCAGCTTAAACGTAGACTAGCAAAAAGTCTACGCAATGACCGTGAACGATAGAGGGCAGATAAAGCAAGAGTGATGGAAAAGGCGGTACTGAGTGATAATATTAGACAACAGTTTAATTGTTCTCTAAATACCTTTCAGTTGCCTACTTTTAACAAGCAACCTGAATGGGATGTCAATATAAGCTCATGATCCCTATTGAGGTAGAAAAAGCCACAGCAAGAGAGATAAACTAACTCGAGAGATATTTAAGGATGATAGTCTAGTTTTGGCGATTAAGTTAGCTGAGATATTAGCTAGAATATGGGGACCCGACGTGATCTTATCTGACTAGTCTCGATCGCTGATCCTTATAGACTATAAGAAAGAACAAAAGTGCTCTTGTGATAACCATAAAGGAATCATAAGCAAAGGTGGATAGTGGCCAGCAGTGGAATCCAGGACGCGCGTTTCGTCCTATTTGGGACTCGTCAGCTGGAATCAGTTTAAATAAATATCGTGTCTAAAATATTGGCCTCAAAAGACCAACGTTTGTTTATCTAGAGGTCATAAAGAGCGAACCCGAGAAAATAAGGCAGGTTTCAGACCTGGACATCGATGTACACATTAAATATTCACTCTTCGTTAGGTTTTAAGACGTAGACACACATACCAATGCCAGAACATAGTAGTATTCTTTGATCTTAAGGAAGTATTCGGCTCCACTAACTGAGAGGTTTTGTGACAGTTTGTCACTGAAAGGAGTACCGAAGTGCATAAACTCTGTAAAGTATATAAACTTGAACACTACTGATTGTTAGACCTTATGGAGAGTTGTCATAAGAATTTATAATATCAATGTCTTTTAAGTTTGTCCATTTTCCCCATCTTGATTTAAGTTTGTGATAGATATCTCTTTTAGCGATTATGCTTTCGTCCTCTGAATTTTCAGGGATTGATCTACCACTTGACATATTCAATTATTGACCTTGAATACCCAGATTATATAGGTCTACCTGGTAAAAATGCTGGCTTAATACAGAATTTTCTAATTGTTTTAAGAAACAATCCAAATATTCCCGGGATGTGTAATTCCCTTTAAATGAAAAATTTTGCTCCAGGCCTCATTTGTACCATCGCCCAATTGATCATAAGGAGTGAAGTGGTTGGGCGCGTTGATTACTTTATTTACCTTGAAAGTCACTCGAATCTTAATGGTTGGTGTAATTAGATCTTGGAACGGATTTAGAAAGGTTGGTTCGCTTTTCTGAACTCGTGCCACACAGTAATTTTAAAACCATATGTCAAGATTTCTAGTGTGTTTTATTAATTTACGGTGTGCATTTTCCCTTCTAGAATAAAGTGATTTGATCAATCTATTCTGTTATCGTGAACGTAGAGCATCACACAAATGTGCGTTAACCAAAGTTTACATATTAGAAGTCTAGTGATATATTAACATTTAATTTCACATATATAATTTAATAAACTGATAGCATTTTGTTTACCTTGGGAAATTTCGAATTGACAACAGCAACAAGGGCCGAGAAAACATGGGTGAAAGTTGGTGATGCCGACTGTGCGGTTAAAAGGGATCTAACGAATAAACCTCTACCTCTAACAATATTTTCCATGAGTAGCTGTTTGACAACTTCAGATAAGTTGGATACATTCACTTTATTAATAAAACCATGGATGGATTTTTTTAGTGCTTCCCAAGCAATTCGTTGATAAGCTTCAGATGATTTGTCAGTTATCTGGGCTTGCATTTGTCGAAGTCGACCAGGGGGAATATATGCACCACCAGTTTTACCAAATATGTTAGCGAATTTGTCAGGATTTTTTGACGAATCATCTTTCTTAGGGTTCTCCGACACAGCGCTACTCTTCTCATTTCCTGGACTATATCTAGCACGTTTAGTCCCACGATCCATTGCGACAGTACCTGTTGAAGGACTATATTAAGTAGACTAGGTCCAATATTTTTGTCAGCCTGATATTACTAAAAAGGCACATACACGACGACGTTAGGTTATGCATATTTATTATTATTTATTTTAACACATAAGTATAGGTACAGGGAGGCACCAAATACATATGCGCCACACAAATCTCAATTGATTTGTGTGAGGGCTGTGACACTGTCCGGGTGCCCAAACCGAAGCAGGTGGTTTTCTTAGGGGGCCACACCCCGAGCCTTTGACCTGAACGTCTGACCCACAAGGCAGTGGAGCATCGTGAGGAGATGCAGTCCCATGGTAGCCGGTGACCAACGAGTGGTTCATACGCCATTTGTTCCCGCAGGATACTGGAGCCCATGTGCACCATTGGTTTGGGGTCCGGTTAAAGCGCCAAACATTCGCTTTTCGTCCTCTCATTTTTGTAAACAACACCCACGCCACGAGAAGGCAGTGAGTTATGCATACGAGATACCCAATGAGTATTTGAACAACCAACACGGGATTATAACAAGGAATACTTATGTACATAAACGAAGAGGATAAAATACATGTGGTAGCTTGAACTGTTCAAAAGAGTATTCATTATCAGTTCAGAAATAATTTTTCTCAAAGCAGAGTACAGGACAACCCCTTCGCTCTTAATCTGCAATAAAAACGTGCTACAGTAATATAACATTGAGAATTCAACATTCGTGCTTATGAATTACTAATGTTAGTACAGCATATGAGTGCTGTGATGACACCAGTTCGTTCATATAGAGTAGAATACACAACACATTGTAAGTTCTCCCCCATCTCTATGAATCCTGGTATTGAGAGAACTAAACATTGTTTCTGAATGATAACTAGTATTTAATGGTAACATCATGCTAGTAACGCGGAATTTCGACAGTGTCTGGGACCAGTAATAACAACTCGAGCTATCTTACTATTTTTCTAACTAATTTTAGTGGTTAAATCATGTTCCAGGCATATTATTTTAGCCACTTCTACACTGCCCATTATTTACGAGCTCCGCAAACAACTAGAAGAAGAGGTATTTAGTTTATGGCACACTAACGTGGCATGAAAAACTATACAGTATTAACAACTTTCGCTTCACAACTTAGAGTCCCAAAGGATAATACAACTCAGCTTTGTAACGTTATTAGATATGGTTTAATATAAAACAAATGGATATCATGCTGTGGTTTTCAAACACATTATTCACAGACGTGAGATAAGTGTCCCAGCTTGAAGATAACTTTCAAAACTCCCTTACGAACTGAAGTTTGTTTTATATTGAACACAATTCTTATTTACTTATCGTATGAATTCCATTTTATTTTTCACCACTACTTGGTTTGCGTGGTGAAACCTTTTCAAGCTATGTCGAAGTCTACATTTACTACACGTAACTAAACCCGTATTAAGCTAGTAAAAATATACCGTCAAACAGTAAGAAGGCACAAATAGATATCTTATTTTCACACAACCAATATAAACCCAATAACATCAGGTTGCAAAAAGGCTGGTCCGCCCAAGAAATAGTAACTCTGTAAGAAATTTTTATCCCGTAGTTCGTACTGATCAGTACGTCACAACAACATTGATTTTAGAAACAAGTAAGTGTTCAAAAAGTGGGTGTGTCAGAAATACTTATTAATGTGATAACTACAACCTACTGGTTCAGAAACAAGAATACTAAAATACAAACATTGACAATGGAGGACTGCCTTTAATATGATATATCTAACTAACCTCAAGTGGCTAATGTACAAACTTATTTGAAATAGCGCCCACTATGCAAATGGTTCAAATGGTTCAAATGGTTGCGGACGGAATAGAAGAAGCTTTCGCTTAACAGACTTCCGTGTCTAGTAGCAGGGGATCACCAATACCGCCAGGCAAGAACCTAGGTATATTAACGATAAAAGAGAAAGAAAATGAATTGGTAAATCATAGTAGGATACTATCCTTAGTCCTTAAGAATAGATCAAGTCGCCTCTTAAAGGACTCCTGAGAAGTTGCTTGGACTAGCTCAGTTGGCAGCGAATTCCAGCATTTGACAACTCTTAAGGAGTAGAAATTGTGTCTGCAGTCCGTTCTACTATGTTGTATCTGCAGTTTCTGGGTGTTACCCCTTAGGTTAATGTTGGGACTAAACTTAAGTAGGTGTTTAAGAGGGTGTCCAGGTGTGTTACGGATACTGTAAACCATTAGAAGATCACCTCTAAGACGCCTATACTCTAATGGGTAAAGGTCGAGTGATTGGAGGCGCTCATCGTAAGGTTTAAATTTGAGTCCCCGAACTGATTTCGTGGCTCGCCGTTGGATACGCTCCAGAGTGTCCTTATCCTTTTGGATTGTCGGAGGGAATACTATGTTCCCGTACTCTAAATGGGGAAGAATGAAACTATTGAAGATTATGTGGAAAGTTCTCCCGTCAAACTGACCAAAAATGCGCTTCAATATTACCAGTGCAAGGTTTGCTCTAAAGGCATTTTTGTCACAGTTGGCGTAAGACTTTAAGTCGTAGGGCACCAGAACTCCTAAATCTTTTTCGACTCGGGATACTACTAGAGAGGAGTTTCCTAAGTTGTAACTGTAATCTGCGACGTGTCGCAGATGGACTACTTTACACTTTGAAGTGTTAAAGGTAAGTCCGTTATCATCTGCCCAACTTTGAAGTCGAATCAGATCCTTCTGAAGTGCCTGTATGTCCTCTTGGTTGCGTATCTCTCTCCAAAGTTTCACGTCATCGGCAAAGAGCAGTATGTCTGACGTTACCTGTTGAGGAAGATCATTTATGTAAATCAGGAAGAGGAGAGGTCCTAGTACTGAGCCCTGGGGGACCCCACTAGAACATTCCATAGCGCGTGAGAAATTGAAGTTTACCCTGACCTTAAAATGTCGATTTGTGATGTATGAACTGAGTCAGTCAATTAAAGGTGGTTTGATTCCCAATTGTTTGAGCTTGTTAATAAGACATGTGTGGTTAACCCTATCAAAAGCTTTAGAGAAATCAAGGTAAATAATGTCTAACTTCCCCTTGCGATCAACGATGCTTGTCCATCTGTCCACCGCGGTCAGCAGGTTCGTCATACAGGAATAACCCTTCCTGAAACCATGCTGTTGGGGTGAGAAGAAATTTAAGGACAGCAGATAGTCATGTATATCATCGTATACCAGGGACTCCATGATCTTTGAAGGTATAGAGAGAAGGGCCACCGGTCGGTAACTTGAAGGTTCACTGCGTCGACCTCCTTTGAAGATTGGTGTGATATGAGCCAGCTTCCAAATATCCGGTAGTTTGCCCCAATAGCTTAGTCATGAGCTTGTATAAATCGACTTATTTCTTTGTACTCTATTCTTGTTGTTTTTATGTGATTCCATGTATTTTTTTAATGTCCAGTATGTGGTAGTCCGGCCGCTCTGCTGAATCAATTGAGGTCACTTTGGTAGTTATTTGTGGGTTTGTATATCTTGTAATCTGACTGGGCTCGAGTTGTATCTACCATGGTTGAGCGTTTGGTTGAGCTTGTAGAATTACGGTCTACTATGATATTAGCACTGCTCTAATAATAGACCTAATCCTAAAATTGTAGATTTATCATGATGTAACTGCCTAATCTATAAGATCTTACGTGGAAGTTACATCATCGTCTACACCGACTCATTGCATTGTAACAATTACCAATACGTGATAGAGAACAAGCTTAGGCTAGAGATAGAATATATTTAATATGAATAGAAGATACAAGATAACATTCAGCTGGGACCACGCTTGCAAGGCCGAGCCATGCCATCCGATCAACTCGGACTTATTCAATTCACTGTTTCCGCCTTTCTTCATTGTTCGGTATTTCCCAGCGTTAAATGTTGAATGCCTATTTTTCGTATTGTCTTGTGTTAGGGCCCAATGCCACTACACTACTCTCCCACCAGAATCAACGTGACGTTGCTTCGATACCAATTTGAGTGGGGTTTATCGCGCGCCGGAGGTTACCAAGAATGATAAGAATCCTCCGGGTATTGATAAGCTGAAAGATAAATCAGAAAGAACGAGGCAGAACCTGGTCGGGAAATACATATATATATATATCAATTTTAAAACGCCTAACACGATTAAAAAGAAAATTTAGGTAAAGATTATTTGAGCTAAACAAAGTGGGATTATAATAATAAAATGATTCAGTATAAGTATATTTTAATAAAGTGCCGTAAGATACGTAGTGATATCCGTAGGTTAATAACATTTCCTGTTTAGGAATATTAAAAACAGCCAATATTAGAGAAATGTTAAAAGTGGTATTATATTTGGTCTAAATTATGAAATCAAATAACGTATGTGCCGGTAAGTTGTCCATGCGTTGATTTCTAATTGCATCTGTATTAGTAGGCTAACTGAAAGAACAAAAGTATAAGCGCGGAGAAGAATTCCAACTAGTGTTCCAGTTAGTTTGATACGGTTTATTTAAATATGGGGAGATTTTCTCGACCTCATTTTTACTTGACCCTGATAGAATTTAGTAATACAACTAATACATATGAATTGTTATCAAAAATTTTTAAATACGTGAAAAGTAATAATTATGTGGATTTTGGACAGATAGATAAGAGCGATTCGTTAAACATGAGTGTATCCGTTAGAGATATGCTCTAGACTCAATGTTCTGATTTGCCATAGACTATTTATTTATATTCATACCTATCGGCTGATGGTACATACAAGTTAGTTGCAAGTGCCCGTTTAGATAAGACGGAATGCTATTTCATTGAGATATAGTGATTATGAGTTATTGAAATCAGTTAGGCCTTTGTGCCACCTTTCTAGGTGATGTGGTGCTGCAAGATGTATTCGTCTAAATAAGTTTTTACAAGATGATTAACAGTGAGTGATGCTCATGGGATTACCAGGGAGAACATAAGTTGTAACCAAGGGGAGTACACTCCCAACTCATGTCTATGATAATGGCCTGAACCTTAGTCAA